TTTTTTTTTTTTTTTTAAGATTTTATTTCTTTATTTGACAGAGAGAGACACAGCAAGAGAGGAAACTCAAGCCCGGGGATCGGGAGAGGGAGAAGCAGCCTTCCTGCCCAGCAGGGAGCCTGATGCGGGCGCTTTGGCCTTTCTTATTCTCCCTCCCAGCTGCTGTAGGAGATGGGTCTCCCCAGCTCCATTTCAAAGATGAGGAGACTGAGGCTCAGAAAGCCTAAAATCAGGCGCGGCTCTTGCTACCTCCTCCTACCCTCCCCCAGATGAGAACTGTCTTTTCTCTGGCACTTCCTGCTCAGAGCCTCACCCCAGTCACCTGTGGACTTGCACTTTGCCCAGGGAGGGACAGCCTTGCCTTTGTTGTCCTCTTCCCCCTCCCCGGGCACCCCACATTGCTTCCCGGGCTTGCCGTCCACTTCCTGCCAGGCCCTGTCGGTAGTGGCTTATAGCACCCATCACCTCTCCCCACCCCACCCTCCCCCGGGCAGTCCCAGTTCTCCACCCAGACATGGGGATTTGTGCTGCACTGTCTGCAGCCCCCACCACAAGCTGTGGGCAGGAAATCTCCACACTCGCCCCCAGCTCGCCGTGTGACCTTAAGCAAGTCACTGCATCTTGCTGGGTGGGCCTCCTCACCTCTAAAACAGCAGGATTGGTCCAGATGTCTTCAGAAGGCCCTTTCGAGGCTGATTCCAAAAGACAGTCCTGACTTATTCTTTCAGAGACCCACCAAATGGCATTTATTTATTTATTTACTTACTTACTTACTTACTTACTTAACGTATGTTTAATCTTTGTTTTTTCTGAAAATACGAAAGGACATTTACTCCTCTATCTTCTGATATATGGCCAAGCACTCTTTGAGGAGTAGCGTGCTGTTGGGAGCGTCTCCTCATTTGTCTTGCCCAAACCATTCCCATAAGGCAGGCATTTATTTTTAAGCAAACATTTATTGCACGCCAGATGGTGTTCGCACTATCTCATTTAACCCTCTCAGCAGCCATGTGGCTGAGGCATTTATAATAGCAACAGTATTCATGTTTGCTGAGCACTTACAACGTGCCAAGCTCTGGGCTGGGCTGGCTGATTTACGCGGGTCATCTCACTGAATCTTCATAACTACTCTCTACAGAACCACTCTTTCCCCTACTTTGCACAGGAGGAAATGGAGGTGCAGACGGGTTGAGGTCATAAGGCTAACAAGCAGTGGAGTGGGGGGGCAGGATTCAGACACCAGCAGACTAAACCCCAGAGTTGCTGCTCTTCACTGTGAAGCTCTCTTGCCTCCTGCAGTTTATTATCCCTGCTTTCCCAGTAGGGAAACTGAGGCCACAGAATTGAAGTACTTCTGTTCAGGGCCGCCCGCTGAGATGCAGCAGAGGCCCTGAGCCCACCTGCTGAGTCTGGGCCTTGTGCAGCCTATGAGATGGGTTGGCAGATGTTCTGAGTCTTAAGGGCACTGGCTGGAAGGGGACGTGAAGCCTAGCCACCAGAGCCTGTTCTTCTTAACCAAGTGCCCCCTGCCGCCCCCGCCCGGGGGGTCTCCGGTACCATCCTCAGCTACATCGTGCAGGACCTGATGGAGACAGACCTCTACAAGTTGCTGAAAAGCCAGCAGCTGAGCAACGACCATGTTTGCTACTTCCTCTACCAGATCCTTCGAGGCCTCAAGTATATCCACTCAGCCAACGTGCTCCACCGGGATTTAAAGCCCTCTAACCTGCTCATCAACACCACCTGCGACCTTAAGGTCAGAGGATTGGGTGCCTATCCCCTCCTCCCACGGGTCTGGGGCTTCTAGGTGACCAGTAGCCCCCTTGAGTAGAACCTCACAAGCAAAGGGAACAGCGTGGGTGATATGACTGCTCGGGCCTTGGGCCTTGAGCAGCGAGCTTAGCAGCCTGGGTTGGCTTCCAGATCTGCGATTTTGGCCTGGCCCGGATTGCCGATCCCGAGCATGACCACACTGGCTTCCTGACAGAATATGTGGCCACACGCTGGTACCGGGCTCCAGAAATCATGCTTAACTCTAAGGTAGGGGGGCCACCCATCCCTGAAGGGAAGGGGCCAAGTCCCAGAAAGCCCTGGAGCCACCCCTGAGCCAGGCATGACCCCCATGATCCAGGACATCTGCCTCCAGGCCTTGTCACATGACTCCGGTTTTTAGGCCTTGGGAGGAAGCTGAGCATTAGGTCCTCCAGGCCTCTGCCCTCTTCCTCCCTGCTGGTATTGAGTCTAGATTGGAGTCGTGGTTTGGCCCAGACAGGAGGGCCCTGTTGAGGCTGGCCCAGGAGCCCACTGCTTTCTCCTCCTCCCCAGGGCTACACCAAGTCCATCGACATCTGGTCTGTGGGCTGCATTCTGGCTGAGATGCTCTCCAACCGGCCCATCTTCCCTGGCAAGCACTACCTGGACCAGCTTAACCACATTCTGGGTGAGGGGGCCTGGCCAGCTAAGTGGGAGGGAGACTAGTGGGAGGTGAGGTTTCTTTATAGCCAGGGTACCACCATATGTGGAGTCCCTGCAGCATCTCACGGTATTTCAATGAGATAATAGACACAGTCCCCACTCGAGAGATGGGAGAAGCCAAGGCTACACCCCACACTTGGGAAGTGCTCACATCAGGATTTGAACCTGTGGCTGCCCACACCCAGAACCCTTGCCCTTCATCACCATAGTATTGGCTGGTAGATAACTGTCAGGGCTTGGAGCTCATTGGTGGGGACTCTTGTTTTGGTTTCCTTCTGTTCCCAGAAGGGAGAGGAGAACTCTGACCAAGGCACCTGCCTTACCCACAGGTATCCTGGGCTCCCCATCCCAGGAGGACTTGAATTGTATCATCAATATGAAGGCCCGAAACTACCTGCAGTCTCTGCCCTCCAAGACCAAGGTGGCCTGGGCCAAGCTTTTTCCCAAGTCAGACTCCAAAGGTGAGAGAAAGACAATGGGGGCCAATACCGGATAAAAACTCGGTGCAGAGGAGGGTACATGAGCCATGCAGCTGCCTGAATAGACAGGACCCTGGGCACAAGAAGCAAAGCGATGCTTCTGGGAGCTCCTCCAGCCTTCTCTTTGACCCCTGACTCCTGCCCTTACCTAGCCCTTGACCTGCTAGACCGGATGTTGACCTTTAACCCCAACAAACGGATCACAGTGGAAGAAGCGCTGGCTCACCCCTACTTGGAGCAGTACTACGACCCAACAGATGAGGTGGGCCAGCCACCAGCAGCAGGGCTGGCGGGTAGGTGACGGGTAGGCGTCCCTTGTACCCGGTCTGAGCCTGATTTCTTTGCCACCCCAGCCAGTGGCTGAGGAGCCTTTCACCTTCGACATGGAGCTGGATGATCTACCCAAGGAACGGCTGAAGGAGCTCATCTTCCAAGAGACAGCCCGCTTCCAGCCTGGGGCACTGGAGGCCCCCTAATCTGGACAGACACCTAATGTTCCTTGGGGCCTGGTGAGTGCTCCCCACTGCCCACACACAGATTCACCCCGATACCAGTGTGCCCAGCACACCTCCATACAGTCACAGGCTTGTTCACGCCCACAGGGCAGGTGCATAGTGGCAACAGAAAGGCTGGAGCCTGCCCAGGCCACAGACCTGTGGGCCACCAGTCCTTCACATCTGCTTCCTCTCCCCCAGCCCCAAAGGTCTCCCACCTGGCAACACCCTGCACCCCTGCACCCCTGTACCCTCCGGGCCTCATGGCCAGAGGGCCCTGAGGGCCCCTCTCCCTGGTCTGAGGACCAGAGCCAGGTTTTGGCTCCCCGATGTGGGCAGAGAGGCAGGTGGGGCAGTAATTGCTTTGGGAGGAGCCAGCAGTCCCCAGCCTGACCCAGATGCCAAGTCCCCTCCCACCTGGTGTCCGGGTCAGTGGTTTGCACACCCGCCCACACAGCTCTCCTTCCTCGAGTCTCTTTTCCGTCCTCCCGGCCAGCTGCAGCCTGACGGAAGGAAGGCAGACACACCTGCGCTCCAACTCCAGTCCTCACACTTAGTAAGAGCCATGTGACATTGTGCAAGACCCCTCAGCTCTCTCTGCCTCAGTTTCCCGGGGAGAGCCCTGAGGACGAGAGCAAACACAGAGCCCTAAGCGCTCTTCTCAGGGCTTCATATGCATTAACTTATTCCACCCTCCAGCTGGACCCTGAGATAGGCACTGGGGCTCCCCCCACGTACAGTTAAGGGAGACAAGGCCCATCCCCGGCAGCCGTGAGGATGAGATGAGGGAGATGGAGGTCAGGGCTCTGGCAGGTCCTCTGGTGGGTGCTAACAGTGCCTTTCCGCCTGCCCTTTTGTTTAGGCCCTGCCTCCTGCCTGCCCCTCCCCTGCCGGACTGTTAGGAAATGGACACTGCGCCCCGCCCAGAACCCCCCCCCCCGGTGGCCCCCGGCAGGGCAGAGGGCGTGCCTGGCCACCCTCCCCGGCTTCACTCTGGCCTCCTGATCCAGCAGGCCAAGGCTCCCTCCGCCCTGCCTCCCCTCCCAGGGCCCGAGGGGCTTGGGTGGCCCCAAAGCAAATTGCCCTCTGCTGCTTGCCTTTGTCTACCCCAGCTATCCCAGTCTCTGGTAGTTCTGGAATGGAAGGGCTCTGGCTGCCCTGGGACCTACTGAAGGGCAGTGGGGGGATGCGGGATCCTGAGTAGGGACTCGGGGCAAGCCCTGACCCATTAAAACCCTACCCCATTTTCCCTGAAAGGAATTTTCCTAAGGCGCAAGGGCTAGTACCCCTGAGGCGCAGGGCCCAGGCCTAAGCCCCCTCCCCCAAAGCTGCCACGTCTAACACCCCTGCTGCCTCTGTATGTGGGTGAACAGAAGTGGAGTGGGGGGCACGAGGAGAGCCTGGTGCCCCCGCCCACCCTGTGCCTGTATCTAATATATAAATATAGAGATGTGTATATGATGGCCCTGGCTCTGTCTGTGTCCGCCGATGCCCCCATGCTAACCGTCGCTTTGGGGACCGACGCACCTGCCCAGCCACTTCCCAGCTGTGTGGCTTTACCCAACCCTGGTGATCTCTGGTCCCCAGCCAGCCTGGGCTGAAGGTGGGATAGTCAGGAGCGCCAGACTCCTGGACAGAGTGGGGTCAGTTTTCCCCTTAGTCACTGTCCTCTCCCCTCCCTAATGGCTTCCCGTCGAACTGGCTGGGGGTGATTCGGGGGTGACTCAGGGGCATCCTCCACACCCCTGGATTCTCTGGAAATGGCTCGGGGTGGCGTGTTGTATACCCCAGCCACAAGCACCCATGGGAGGAGGGAAAGGTTGTAGCCAACCCGGGGGTGGTGGGAGGCTTGTTTCCCGCAGTGTGGCCAAGGGGAGCAGGGGTGCTGGGGTCTGGGAAGGGTGTAGGGGTGGGAGAGCCAGAGCTGCCAGAAGCCTCTCCTCCTGCCTCTCCCCCATCCCCAGCTGAGCCCTGCAGCCTGGCCCCAGGCCAGGAGCAGGCTCAGCAGGTCCCAGGGGTGTGGTGGCAACCAGTGGCAGAGCCAGCCTACACCAGCCAGGCTGTCGGCAGAGGCCACACAGTCCCTCAGGAACGTCAGGGCTCACGCAGCGGGAGCCCCGGAGAGGCAGTGTGGCCATGAGCCCTGTGCTGTACTATGCCCTGCCCGCCCTGGGCAGCTATGTCATGCTCTCCGTCTTCTTCCTGCGCCGGCCTCGCCTGCTGCACACGCCCTGGGCACCAGCCTTCCTGCCGCGCCTGGGAGCCCACCGGGCAGGTGAGCTGGGCACCCGAAAGGGAGGATGGTGATGGCGGCTACGGAGGGTGGAGTCGGGGTGCAAAGTACCAGGGCGGACGGCAGCAGGCTGTTAGAGGGCAGAGCCCGAGAGAGGAGGAGAGCAGGGTGGCAGGGCAGGATGTGGAAGGGGGAAGACGGGGCAGGGAGTGAGGAGCGAAGGGGGAGGCCAGGCCCCTGGGACCCACCCAGCTGCCCTGCACAGGGTCCGGGGAGCGGCTGGAGCACACCATGGAGGCCATGGAGAAGTGAGTGCATGCACCTGCCATCCCAAGCTGCCCGCTTGATGTCGTCCCAGTCATGCACTGTGTGACACCAGGGGGTGCCACTCCCTTCCTAGTTTGAGTGCCTGGGGCCCCCTGGAGGTGTGCAGTGCAGAGCCTGCACATCCTACCGTGAATTCTGCCCCACGCCCCCTTCAACCTCCCCACCGCCCTGGGGTCTGGCCTGCCCCTTTCCCTGGGCCCCCCCACTCCCTGCACTGACCTTCACTCCCATAGCTCCGTGGCCCAGCGATCCGACTTTCTGGAGCTTGACTGCCGGCTGACCCGGGATGGTGTGGTGGTGGTGTCACACGACGAGAACCTGTTTCGCCTGTCAGGCGTGAACAGGGACGTGAGCAGCCTGGACTTTGAGGTGGGCCTCGCCTTGCCCCCCCCCGCCACCATACCGAGAGCCACCGTGCCTCCATGCGTGCCTCCTGGTGACGTACCCCCTTTCTCTCCAGGAGCTGCCCCTCTGCAAAGAGGAGCTGGAGGTTTACTTCTCACCAGGTGAGAGCGTGACCTCACCGAGTGGGGTCGTGGCCTCAGCCTCCTGCCCTCTCTTCTCCTCTGGGACTCTGTTTCCCTCCCCTCCTCCCCCCGCTGGGTTCCCACCCCACCCCATCCATACCCCTCTGATCCCTCTTGAACAACCCACCCAGGCCACTTTGCACACGGGACAGACCGGCGCATGGTGAGCCTGGAGGACGTGTTCCGGAGGTTCCCTCGGATGCCCGTGAGTGTGGAGGTCAAATCAGTAAACGAAGAGCTCATTAACAAGGTGGGACTACGGGCAAGGGTGGCCAGGGGCCTGGGGCTGGAGAGAGGCCTGACCCCCCTCTTCATCTCCTCCCCCTCCTCCTCCTCCAGGTAGCGGGCCTGGTGAGGCACTTTGACCGCAATGAAATCACCATCTGGGCCTCAGAAAAGAGCTCAATCATGAAGAAGTGCAGGGCTGCCGTGAGTCCGGGTGCCTTCTCTGTTCAGCGGCCCCTCCTCCCAGGAGCTGGAGGCTCTACGGGCCGAGGCTGGACAGGTCTGGGGGGTTGTGGAGGACCTGGCCCCAAGCAGGGTCTCAAAGGGGAGGATTTGGAGAGGAGAGGTGCTGGGGACAGTGTGAGCAAAGGCGTGCTGGTGGGAACCGGGGACAGTGT